GAATTGAATCGTGAATTGAATCGTGAATTGGATTAGTATTTGTGTGTGATGTTTCAGATTTGCCATTTTCAATTTATTATAATTAATCTAAAAAACAAAAAGATTTATTAACAATAATAAAATAATAAATAAAAGAATTTTAAGGAAAAGATAATTGTTGAAGAATTATAACAATTTCACTTACACTTAAGATTAGATGAAGTAAAGTATTAAATAATTCTTCATTTACTATCACACACCTATGAACCAATAACACATATGGGTATTGGAACTGAATGTGTATTTTAATAAAACAAATAAAATTTTTGGTTTATATAAACCCTATCACTAGGGTTTATTAATTATATTTTTTTTTTAAATTAAAAAAGGAATATTAAACAGTTGAATATTCTAGAATATTTAAAAATAAACTACTCATTATGTGTCATTACGTGGGATTTTATTAAAAAAGGAACTCTGAAAATACTACAATTAATTCATAAAGCATTATGGGAGATTCAGATACATTGATTATTCTTATTTTGTGTATTTTCATTCCACCATTGGCTATTTGGTGGAAAACTAGAGAGTTTGACACTGACTTTATAATTTGTCTCTTATTATGGCTTATTTGTTGTGGTATTGGAGGAGTCATTTATGCATTCATTAAGTGTTTCGCATAAAATAAATGAAGTTTTAAATTGAGATTTTTTTGTTTAAATTTTGATGTATTAAATTGAAGAAAAAAATTTAAAAGAATTTTATATTTAAAAATAAGTTATTTTGAAATAATTTGATTTCGATATATTTATAAAACCCTTTTTTATTTTCAATTTTTTTTTAATATCTACAAATGAATAATGTTTGATTTGTTTATGGATCAATTTAATACATTCATTGAAACATGGATGAGTCCTATTATTGATATATTAGAACAAGGATTAATTAATATTGCAATCAAAAATGATGATGAAAGATTTTGGACAGTATCACCAAGAGAAAATGTTCATCAATTACTCTTTGCAATTCCATTTTGTTTAGTTGATTTAATTCTATGTTATTTAATATTTCCTAAAACATCTACAGTACACAAAAATGAAAAGAAATGGTATTATAATATTCTTGGTTGCCTTTGTATATTTTTCTTTATAATGCAACTTATTTACAAATATTTAAGAGGTGTTATTGTTTCAATATTTATGCCATGTCATTGTGTACTTCTTGTTCAGTCAATAGTTTTGTTCTTCTATCCACAACACACACCATTTCTATATTATTGCTCATGTCTTCCTGCTGTAGCATTAATTTTTCCTGACACAAAAAAGAATATATTGTTCTTTGAAAAACCAATGTATTTTATTCAACATACTTTTCAATTTTTAATGCCAATTGTTTTTAATGTAACTAATACTCGTCCAACAATTAGACAATTCTTTGGTTATTATTTCTTTGGTGTATTTTTATTCCTTCTATTAGCTTTTTATGTTATGGTTCCTTTTTCATATGCAACTGGATTAAATTTGTCATTTATGTTATATTACCCACATTCTTGTTTGTTCTTTCTTTATTATCACTTATTTAATACTCATTTCTAGCACCTTGGAAAGGAGAGCGTTATCGTTTAAATGCAATGTTATTTGTTCATTATTTAGGATGGATATTTGGATTTGTTGTTTATTATTTACATGTACTTTTCCAATGGTTTATTCAAAAAGTTTTAATGTTATCTAAATCAACTCAAGGGTATAAGAAAGAGGAATAAACAAATAACTATTATTATTTTATTAGTTTTTGTTAATCTTGTTTTATCTTTTGTTTTTTCCTACCCTTACTCTTTCTGATATAATTTAACTACATTATCATCATAGTTAATTATCAAACAGAGTAATAAAATGGAAATATTCATTTATTCTTTTTAATAAACTAATTATGTAAAAAAATATTTGCTCTTTTCTCATGCAAAACTTAATAAATTTTATTACCATTGTTATTGAGTAATATCATTGTGTATTGTAATGAGAAAAACAAATAAGACATAGAAATTCAATGTCATACAATAGAATGAATGTCAGTAACAATAAATGGCATAACAATTATAATAAAAGTAAACGATATACCAATA